GGAGGGGGTGGAAGGTGGGGCCGGGCTGGACTGGCCTTTCTCCTGAGTCCTGCCAGCTTCCCCTGGGTCCTACTGCCCTGGCTCCTGTCATCTTTGATAGGCAGCCAGGAGCAGATAAATATTCATTTTCTAAACGTTTTAGGTGCCCCACAGGCTGGATAGAATGTTCCTGGCTGGCCAGATCTGGCCCACAGGCCATATTTTGCCTGTCCCTGAATTAGGGTGACCATTTGTCTCATTTCCACTGGAACAGTCTTGTTTTAAACCTGTGTCCCAGGCATCCCATTGGGTTATTCAAATCTTTATCCAATTTTTAGAAACATCCCTGCTAAAAATAATTGGATGTCCAGGACAGGTGTGCTCCCCCCTCCCCTTTTTATTTATCAGTGACTCCATGGAACTGAGAGCTTAAAAACAAAAGAGAATTCTGGAGAACAGGGGGAAGGAGGCCCATCCAATTTTAAGATTCAAGAAATAGGGACACCTTAATTTATAGTTTTGAAATCTCAGTTTTTTCAGCCAGATATTCAGTTGGTGCAGCAGGCATAACTTCACTTATTTAAATGGAGTTATGCCAGCTGAACATTTGAGCTGTTTGTGCTTAGCCATTCAACATGTATTCTACAGGTTGAGGTAATATAAACCCTCAGTTCCTGGATCACCATGCAAAGTAAATGACCCATTTGAAAGGGTAACAAAATAGTTGGTATTTCCAGATTTAAACATCTAAGAATCATGAACAAACTTCTAAATCACATAATTTAAATATATTCTCATTTTAAATAATCATTTGAAGGCATTTTCATTTGTCTGCTGCTTGACTGAGCCTGAAGGTCCAGGTTTCAAATGTTCCCTCACAATGTTAAGGCTAGAAACATTATTTTCCCCCTCATAGGCCACGAACAGGAGTTAATTTCTATCTGTGGAAATTTTCCATGGCTAGAAATGTTTCTGAGAGGGAGGAGGTGGGAGGAGGGACTGAGAGAAGGTAATCAGCACCTGTTCCCTATCCCTTCCCCAGGCTTGGACCCTTGGTCTTGGGAAGGTCAGGGGAGCATTTTCCAATGTCTCAGTTCCTTGTGGTCCCCTGGAGGAGTCAAGCAGTAAGGAAGTACACAGACAGTCATTCCCCTGGGACAAGCTCTCCTTGGAGAGACCTCTACCATGTTGGAAATTAAGTTATTTTTCTCCTGGAACCACTATTGCTGTTCCAAGAGAAACTGTGAGAACTATGCTACACTCCTGGGGTTTTTTTTAACCAGGAGAACTGTGATGCTTCCTGTAGAAATATAATGCCCATATGTGGCCATAGTCTCATGATTCTGAGCTGTTGAATGTAAAACAACTGCTGCTAAAATTGTGAAAAAAACCATAACATTTGATACTACAGTTTCATATTAATTTAATCCTTTGTTTCTTGATTCAAGGTTTTGCACAACAAAGCAATGACACTGCCATAACATTCCTACTGATAGATTTGTATTGAAGGATTTCTTTGTAGTTCTGCTCCTGTAGTTTAATCAGGATCAGGAGACCCTTTAATCAATTTGGACATAGAAACAGCTTTAAATGTTTTTTCTACATATCTCAAGGTACCAGGTGGCTCATGAACACTACAGTGCTGGGGCACATGGAGCATCTCATATGAGTGTGGGGGGCTCCCCAGCACACATGGCAGCAGACCTGGAACTGGACACAGAAACACTTCCAGCCCACTTCTGGGTCTGCCATGGAGTGCACTGGGAGCCCTCCACACCCTCCCCCCGGCTCAGAGGATGCACCATCTACCCCAGCATCACAGCATTCGTAAGCCGTACCTGGTATCTCAAGGTATGTAGAAAAAACATTTAAAGCTGTGTCTATGGTCAAATCACTGATTCTCTGAATCAGCATTGAATCTTCAGATTCAGATTCGGCCAAAATGAATCAGGGACAGTTGTTACACAAATTGCCAATTGCTCAAATCATGAGTAAGACCTTATAAAGGCGGATAAGGCAAAATGCCATGTTTATTAATTACATGATTTAGACATTGAGGTTTGGACACACCATTCATACAAACACACAAATTATGATGTAAATCATTACACACAGACACACACATACACAAAACAACCATTCTATCTGTACACATAAAACAGATATAGTTACCAGCAATAGTTGCTCACTGTCAGCACAGAGTGGCCAAATTCAGCTTATTGAGTAGAAGATGATATTAGAAGATAGCAGCTGAAGAAAGGTCTTGGAGACAGCAGCTTGGAGAGGGGTGAACAGATGCATCTGTGCTCTGACTAAACAGCAGTAGAGAGACTCACCTAACTTGGCATTTTTAAGTCTTTTTTTATAGGGATTGCCATCTTTTGTTTCAGTGCTTTGGGGTTTTTCTATACCCAGCTTCTGTTGTTGCAGGATGTCTGCCTTTCTCCTCCTTGTTATCCCTTGTTGTGTCTTGGCCTCAAAGGGATTCTTCAGCCATTTATTAATTAGTTTACTGACTGGTAACTTACTGTCTCAGGGAACTTAGGTGCCCTGCTCCTAAAGAGGGGAAACTGCTAGAGAAAGAGCCCTAGCAGTGAATTAGAAGCCCAGCTGTTGGTTGCCAGGGCAACTGGAGCCAGCAAGTAATCACACCTGCCAGTGGTCAGCTGACTGAAAGGCCCTGGCTCCCTTATAAATTCTAGGAGCTGAGGCCAGAGGCAGTTCCCTGCCAGCAGCCCAGGAGGAAGGAGCTCTCTGCTGTGAGAGAGAAGAGAAGCCAGATGAAGGAGAAGCATCTGACACGCCGTGGGATGAAGAATCCCGGTAGACTTGAGCGTGATTATAGCTGGGTGACTTCTGTTTATGTTATAGCCTAGGGGCTTGTGTTTGTGTTGTCGTTTATCACTGGTGGTTTGGGTGAGGCTATCAGGGGATGGAGGAGGCCTCATAGGGGCCCCACAGTAGTGTGGGGACCCCAGCGCCAGTGAGGGCTCAGCGGCGCAGCATTCGGGGTACATAGACCCCAGCCCCAGAGAGAGGGCGTGAAGACAGAGAGAGAGAAGGCCACATTACTGAGGAGCCCCAGAGAAGGGGGCGTTGCTAAGAAGCCCCAGTGCAGGCGTGGTGAGCCCCAGACAGGGGAGTAGCATTGTAGAAGAGCCCCAAGAGAGGGTGGCTTTACAGAGAAGGCCCCCATGAGGGAGAGGGTGGCTTTACAGAGAAGGCCCCCAGAGAAAAGGGGTAGTGAAGAGCCCCAGAGAGGGGGCACTATTGTGGAGAAGTACCAGAGAGAGGGCGCAGAGAGAGACTGGGCTGAGGAGAGCCCGAGCACCAGAAAGAAGGTGTAAACCCAGACCAAACAACGTCTAGTCCAGCTGCGAGGCTTGGGGCGTGGTGAAAGGGGTGGTTGGAGCCACGCATAGCCCATAAGGTTAGGGTGCCCTGAAGCACCCATTTGCAGGACAGTACCCACGAGGGGTCTGGGAGTCCATGGGGCCAGAGGTTACAGCGAACTGTGTCCAAGAAGATGTAAGGCAGCCTCCCTAATATATTGGAACATCAAAGACATGGTGGGTGAGAATCTGAGGGTGCCCTTGGGCCAATTTGGCATGGGAAGGGGGCCTTGAGGAGATCACGGCCCTCCTGTAGGACCCTGCCATGACACTTACATTTTACACCTTGTTGCTTACATAAACAGTTAAATCTTTTTCTCCCATCTTTATGACATTCTCTTACCATTTACCCTTTTACACAGACTCATACATAAAGGCTATGCAGAGTTCATTTACTTCAAGTAGAAGGATACAAAATGGACTTTTCAAGTTGCTTACAGGACAAGACTAACATGGTTACATTTTACAATTATTACACTCTATATTAACATCAGCTATATTCAATTTTTGCTACACAGTGATCTGAATCAACTAATCAAATCACTGCCCCCGATTTGGGCTGTATCTGAATTGAATACAGCCCATTTCACACACCCCTAGTGAAAGCTGAGAAAGGTTTATTATTGAAGGACAGCACACCAATTGGTCTGATTAATAGTCAATCCAAATTAGTGAAGCTTGTCCTTGACTGGTAGAGACACCATACTTTATTTACACTCCCCATGATCTCTGAGGGACAAGTCTCCCAACTCCTCAACACTTGTATTTATATTTTTATAACACTTCCCCTCTCCCCCGCATCTTGTGCCCACTCTTATCTATCTCTCTCTCTCTCTCTCTCTCTCTCTGTCTGTTGAGATGTTCATCTTTGTTTTGTTTCCCAAGTTCACAGATCTGCACTTTTTTTTAGAAGGTTCTAACTTTTCCCATCATAAGTGCTGTTTTCATATTCCCTTCAATATCTTTTTGCTCATTAGTGCTTTTTTTTTTTTTTTTTTTTTTTCCTTTCTTCCTGGGTCATCCAGTGGTCAGGAGGCCCCTTTCTCCCATACTGTTTTTGGCACCATAGCTTATTATAGCTTAGCAGAAGTATGGTCTACCACAACCAGAATTCCAACACTTACCTGTATTTAATTTCCCGTCATAATGTAGGGCCCTGGTATGCCATATTTTTGTAAATCAGTTAAACTCTTGGTGCTTCAGTTGTCTATTAGTAAAATACTTCCTTTCCCCAACCTTCTCTTGTATCTTTAGATTGGAGAATTTGCAGTGTAGAAAGCATGGAGGTACAGTATTTAGTATAATGGAACTCTTGGGATTGGAGGCACTATTATAATGTAGAAAATAATAGTGCTTTCTTACTAATATTTTGGATATGGGTGACAATCAAGCTTAGACTTATGACCCTGCAACACTTTTATATTGTTGTTTTCACTTGATCAGAGTGATCAAGGCTGTATTTTCTCAAGATTTTTCTTCCTAGATTGGAAGAAATACAGATTTTCCAAACAGTCTTAAAAATTTAACCATTTTTAGAGAATGAAATTCTGTTGAAATATAATGCTTTGTGGAATCTTATTGATTCAATTTCTAAAGAAAAAGAGACAAACATTCTGACAGTGTTGCAACTTTTTGTTTTGACTTTTTGGAGCTGAAATTTTCTTTTTTTTTCTTTCAAAATAAAGTTTAAATGACTTGTATTATACACACATCTTATGGACACACACACACAATTTATATATTTAAAAAACCTAGAATCATGACAGTTTCAGTTTTGCCTTAATACAATGATGACACAAAAAAAAAAAGCAATTTTTTTGAAATTTTTTAAAACTTTGTTTTAAATTTTCCCTCTAACTGCTGTTTATTAGAATTCTGTCTCTAGTTAAATGCTAATTATTAAAAGGATGCTTGGCAATATAAGCTTCAATACATATTGCAAAAAGTTGAAACTGTGATTATCTCAGGGAACTAGAATTAAAAAGGCTTCTACTTTCCAGTATAAAGAAAAAAAAACCCTATTGGAGGTATTTTTATATTTTTCTGCCAATATCAATTTGTTTAATCATGTCTTTTTGTAAAAGCTGCTGATCTGATGGAGCAGTGGCAATAGCATCACTAGCAGATATGCAAGCACTTTGCTAAAAAAGGATTTTAATGCTGTAACTTGTGTTAAAGTGCTTTTTTTTTTTAATCTGAACCTGAAGTCATGTAATGGTTTAAAACAATGCTTTGAAAATTGTCAGCCAGCCAGAACTTATTTCTGTGTTCCTTACTCAGTTGCTGAGGTGGCATAGTTAGAATGTATTGTGAGAGATCTTTTGATGCAGTTTGTCCTATGCAATGCAGGAATAGCTGTAATCTCAGTGTACTCAGATGTCACCTGCACAAATTTGAGCCTGATTTTCAGCCAAACTAAGCTTTATTCTATACATGCAGATGAATGTCCCACACGTTTATAGGAACTCTCATATTGGATCGGACCTCTGGTCTATTTAGGGTAGTATTCTTTCTCTGACAGTTGCCAATATCAGATGGAAGATTCAAAAGGGAAGCTTCAAGGACTGGTAGCCAGATGTGCAATAATCTGATAATAGTAATGTCCAATTCTAAACTATAATAGATTCTTTAATTGTGAAGCATAGAACGTTTCTCTCCTCCTAATGATTTTTGTTTGCATTGTCGTCTAAAGATTTGAATGTGCATTAGCTATATTAATATTTAACACTTTTTTTGGAATCTTGCTATTTTTGTTCCTGTTTCAATGAGTATTTGGTACTTATTGACTATACTTATGTAAAAAATGTAAAGATTTCCCTTCATCAATTTTCAGTTTAATTGAATATTGCCTTTTTCTTGTGAGAGTGAGAAAGCAGACTCTTCCAATCAACTTCCTCTAGATTGGTTATTACTTTTATATAATTCTGTGTCTGGAAAGATTTTTTTCCTTGAAAATCCTGCTGTGAAATTCTTTGAACTAGATTTTAGCCAGGAACAGAATTGGCAGTGCTGGAAAAACACACACACAAACACAAAATGGTTCTCGGCGTCCAAAATATAAGAGAACATGCCAAATACCTCATGAAAGAGAGACTTTTTTGAAATTACCCTTTCAGTATTGCAAACTAAGTAAGTTTGGGGAAATGTTTTTGAATTATAAAGACACGCATGGATGTTCTTATGGCTGATTCTAATTGCTAATCCAAGTCCTGATTGCTACTTTAAGTTCCAAACTATTTTTGTACTTCAGTACTGAGGAATTAGAGGAGGAGTTGGGATAGTCTGCTTGTAGGGGAAAAAATGACAAACTATGCAAAAAAAAAAAAAAAAAAACAACAAAAAAAAAATAATTTTTTTTTTTTTTGTGGAGAGATGCATTTAGGTGGTGTTTCTGTTCCATTCCAGGCACAAAGAGCCAACATTCTGAAAAGATCCCTTTATTACCATTCTTATGTATGGCAGGCAGCAGGCCAAATTCTGCTTTCAATAATGAATGCAAATCCAAAGAAATGTAGTTGATTTTCTTGGAATTACTCTGCCAGTGAGAGCACAATTTGACACCAGGTATTATTTTAAAGGTTTTATAAAAAAAATTCAATTTTTTTTGTTTCCTAGCTTGATGATAATTTATTCCACATCGTTTTTCTTAGATTTTTAACCAATGTAAAAGTTATTCCAAAGCAAACTTACTGCTGACCCTGCTAGTAAGAGTGAAGGATATTAACATTATTGATGACATCACATTAATTTTATTTATAAGAACCATTTTCTAATGACCAATAACTTTTAAATCCACTGGAAGTTTGAAGTTAATTTTACACTTAATCGATTTTGCAGACTTTTAGTCTAAAAAACATTTCCTTTAGTCTTCAACATAAGGAATAAGTTCATGTTCATGCAAGTTCATATTTTCTATCACGCTTGCTACAACAATATCTTTGAAACAGGTTTGTTTCTGATTTTTGTCCGTCTCTGTATAACTGGCAAAATAACTGTTTTTAACAGGGTTTTCTGCAGTACAAAAACACAGCAGATGGTGAGGGTCATCATCACATATAAAACAATAGGTACTTTTCTCCAGTTAGGAAAGCTTCTAGTTTATTTTTAACTTGCTAGGGGCCGAGGACAGTATTATTCAGTTTTAGACTGGAGCAAAAACAAGTCAAGTGACTCTCTCAGCATTGCCTGACTAGACATGCTGCTGCCACTGGGTATGAGCTCAACCCTATCCCTGCTTACCTCTTCAGTGTGTTTGCCTGTGGTTCAGTAAATGTGCTAGCACTAATCCCACATCTTCCTCACACTTCATCTCTGCTTTCTTTAAGGCCTTGTTACACGTTTCACTTTTAGCTGCTCAAAAGTTGATGAGTGTTAGTGCTACCTTGAGCTTGAAGCAATCACACCTTAAGGCTAAAACTTTATCTGACTGCTCTGCTGTGACTTGCCTGTAAGATCTGGTGAGCAGGGACCTGATGAGGAGCTCCAGCTTTGAGTTGCCAGTACAGGGCTGGTGAGCTAGGAGAGGCTTCTATCCATGCTTTAGGTGGCAAGGTGTGAGATATAGGTTAGGGGAAGAGAGGTGGGAACATGAAGCTAGGAGGTGGAAAGCTAATAGGATGGAAGTGGGTAATGACATTCAAGGTGGAAAATAAATGGGGTTGGAAAAAGGATGGTGAAATAAAGTAAGTCAGTCACCGAAGGATAAAATAAAAAGAACTAAGAAAACCTTAATAAGCAATAAAAAAGAACTAAATTAAAGAAGGTCTTATGTTTTAATAAATTGGTCTTTGGGATTGGAGTATGGGGGGTAGCCAGGAGATGGGAGTGGTGAGGGAAGGCACTTTTTTTTTTTGGAAGCTACCGACCCTGCCCCAGAAGGGAAGCCCCAGCTCATGGGGACCCAATCTAACCCCCTACCTTGTTCCCTCTGTTGACTTGACAAGCAAGAACAATGCTCAGGATCAGAAATAACAGGTTTATTCGGCCAGTGGGATGTGCAGTTTCAAAGTGTCCATTCTTCTGACTGTTTTGGGTGGGGGGCTTCTCTTCAGAATTCACAATGAGGGTGGTGCTGGGTTACTGGAAATCCATAATATTTCAGATTGCTTCCTGGAATCTTATTTCCAATTGAATGCAGGGCTGTTCCTGTATATCATTGTGTTGATGGGTCTATTGTTTCCACTTTTTGTCACTATCATTCTCTCTCTCTCTCTCTCTCTCTCTCTCTCTCTCACACACACAGTTTCCAGTCACTCGGGGACCAACCCACTTTTCATATAGTCACAATTGACATTATAATGGGGTTACAACATGTCTTGACAAGCAAGGGGAGAAGCAGGTTACAGCATAACTAAATGGAATCTTGACATTACAAAATGAGGCTTGATATTACTTTGGTTAACCATGAAAACAGGCCTGAAGTATACAAAACTGGTGTAAAAATAGCACAAAATAGCAAAAAAATTTAATAAAAACAATATAAGATAGCAAAATTAGCAACGCATAACCTAAAAGAGATGTGCATAAAATTACACACACACACACACACACACACACACACACACACTCTAACACATTGCAATGCACAGACTCATTTCCTTAGCTTAACTCACAAAAGATTTGTCCTAGACCTTATTTCATATAAGG